CCAAGGTGTATTAGAATTTCAGATTCGCTTCGGCAGATTATTTACCCTTCCCGCCTTCTCTCTTATTGTTCCTCCTGTTCAGTACATCACTCTGGGAAATAAGCGGGGGAAAAAAAAAGAAGGCACGGCTGCTCCAGTTGATAATTCATTTTGTTCTCTTTCTGGCCTCACATGCAGCACCTGATTTAGGCGACAACACGATCAAGTATGATTTTAAAGCTTAAGTTTTCCATATATACTACTTCCAGTCTAAGATGTGGCTGTCGACGTGTATTAAGAAACTACTTAATTCAAGTGCTACGGTGTTTTTGTCTTTCTGAAGCTTAATCGCTCCTTTCCTTTCTAGGTCATGCATTGACGGTCACTTCACTGTTACTGCCTTTATCAAGTTGCTTTAGAGATCTCTTTCGAGGCTAAAAAAAGCGCATCTCTATTGTGGCAACAATGTCATGCGCTGGCATCACGACGACTGTAAAGTGAAATGGTTCTACAACCGTACCAATGCGAGGAAAGGAAAAACACCCAAATGCATTCGAGGACTTCGTTTCAGGTCAGTACCTCCGAATGGAGTGCGACGCTCCTTGCTCGAAGAATCATCATTAGGGGCAACAGCTTGAGTTCGCAGTGCCTTCGTTTTTGCTGGTTGTACAGTTTCGTATCCTCGAGTTTCGTGAGATGCACGCAAGTGACGCGTGTGTGTACTTTTGACAACTTTTGAAATGAACGTACTTGAACAGAATTGGACGTCAGAAGAAGCAACAGCGATGTATGAAGAGGCGTAATTTAATAAAAACGTGGGAGAATGACTTGTACCATATCATTTACTGCAGCCAGTAGGGTAGTGTTACCTGTAAATAGCACTGGCTGATAGTTGGAGCTATGAAGCACATGCCATATTGTCCTCTTTTACGTTTCTGTGTGGAACTAAAGGAGCCTTCCTGTGTATTTGAAGATTACTGCTCATTTCTGATCGGTACTCAAGAAGTTCCCTCGTTACATTCATCATGGCTTCAACTGAGTTAGCAATGTTCTTTTTGACAGCAATCGCCGTAAACTTACGTGCCCATGGCAGCGAGTACTTCTCCTTCTTTACCGTTAATTACTGCTGCACGGTACGCTTTACGGGAGCTGGATTGAGCTCCCTATTCGGATTGCCTGAGAATGAGTAGTTTGGTTCATCCGCACATCTATGATCTCGCACTCTGCCGCTGGAATTAGCTCGTGTGACAAACGACCACGGGGAAATTGGAGCCACGGTTCCAGATGAATTCAAGCCCTCGTTAAGCTTACTAATCACTTGCATTGCGCTGCAAACTTTGTCTCGTGCATTGTTATGAGCTAATTCAGACCTTTCTCGTTCCATGAAAAACTCAAGTTATATAATACCACTGTTTTACGTTTAGTGGTTGTGTTCTAAATGTCTGCACCATAGTACAGAACAAATTGGGGGAAAAGAAGTGTGGGAAATCTATCATACGAAATCTGAGTTTGTATACCTTGATATTGTTTTTTTTGTTTTGTTGAGTAAGTAGTGACTGCAGTCAGTGAATTTCGCTTAATTACAAGCAGTGCACTCAAGCCCGCAGACATGCCGGACTTCGAAATCGCAGAGACAACTTTTGAATTCCAGGCACAAATAATTTACCCAATCTGCACCTTCGTTCAGTAATTAGGTGCAGCAAGATGCAAAGTAAGCACGCCGGTGCACGTGTATTCACAATTGACTTCGTTCAAGTCGTGTTGAAAGAGGAGACATGTTCCTGATATTAGCACAATCGGAAAGTGTATTCGAACCAAATCGAAATACTCACCATGCTGTCGAAAAGAACACCCAATACGACTGTCAGAACTTATACATCTTTGAACGGGCGTAACATAAATAAAAAGAAACTTGTAGTATGCACGACAATGCAAGTACTCTTCACTGACACTTTATTCGTTGTTTTCTCGAAATATTCAGCTTTTTTTTTTTTTTGAAGCACTTTGCACAAAACTCAAGTTACCACTTATATGCACGGGGGTTCCTTTTATATTGACACAATATGCCTTTCGAGAGATCCTGAAGAGCCAGCACTTCACAGCGGCTAGACGGGCCATTGGCAAAAGTGGGGTGTACGGTGGTGGTAACTTCCAAGATTTTGCAAGTCATTACTTGTGTGGGTTGTGTTTGTGCCTTAGCTTTGTCATACAATATTCATAGCGACATTTACATTTCAAGGGCAGGTCCTTATCTATAGTCAGTGACGTCCAATGGAAAAGTAGGGTTTACTAAGCTGTGCAATAGACCTGGAACGAAAGAAGCACTCCGTTCATTCCTTTCACTATGTGCTGACGTAGCCACCAGCTTGCTGTGCTACCGATAAAGGCGGATCTTGGATAAAATAGTGACACGTTTTGCTGTCGAGTATTATTGTTGAACTCGGAGAACGCCGAGGGGAGTAAGAACGCGGAAAGGATTCGGCCACTTTCAATGTATTTCACTGGACTGTATTGAATAAAAATCAAACCAAAAAGTAACCAGAGTGGCAGAGGGGATGATAGATTCTGTGTTCATTAGGAACTGCGTAGCTAAATATAACACGACGAACGCCCGTATAGGCTCCATTGCAGGTTTTTAGGCACAACGCTTTAAAATTTCTTCTCTTGTTAATTACCTCGAGCCTATGGTGCTCTGAGCATTTGTGGTGTTATTTTAATGACCAGTAAGTACATCTGCTGCGCTTGTCTTAGTCGCCAAAACTGAGCTTTATATGTGCAGAAAATACTCATTCGCATTAGCTTTACTAATGAAATAGCACATGGCGTACCATGCACGAGTCGGTGAACAAATCAACATATTATTTTGTCTAGCACAGTGAAAGAGGTTTCTTTCTCTCTTACGGATGTCTTCAAAGTCATTGATATTTAGGATAGGAACAACTTGTTTATTTATTTTTCGAATATTGCGGACACATACACTAAACAGGAAGGGTTACAAATGGTACCTACAATGAACCTGTTAAGCAAAACAGAACGAAACATTACTGACAGTGGCGTACGATGTCTACAATGAACCTGTTAAGCAAAACAGAACGAAACATTACTGACAGTGGCGTACGATGTCGTTTCAATTATATAGTTGCATTACAATATGTTGTGAGGAAAATGAGAATGCTTAAAAGTTTTTTAGTACAAAAAAGGGTGTTTCTGCCTCATGTCTACGGTTATCTGCGGTCATGGTTAATGCGAGCTACCAATATACAGATGGACAAATAGGTTTTGAGGTGAGGCAATTTAAGGAATGATATTCTCTGCGTATTTATTTCTTCCTCGCTCTAGTGCATCGATGTTATTCATTTTATAGGTTCTGTATACCATAGAGTGAAATATTTACTTTTTTATGTATTGGCGGTTTGTTGCGGGATCAAATCCCGGCTGCATTTCCGATGGAGGCGGAAATGAGGTAGGCCCATGTGGTCAGATTTGGGTGCACGTTAAAGAACCCCAGGTGGTCGAAATTTCCGGAGCCCTCCACTACGGCGTCTCTCATAATCATTTGGTGATTTTGGGACGTTAAACCCCACATATCAATCAATTTATTGGCAGTTTGTTTGTTTTAGGAAGCAATCCGCAACCTTTCTGAAACATAGGAAACTTTCCTGGGTAGTCTCTGCAAAGAGCATGCCATAGCGAGTCGGAACCCATACGTTTCCAAGCAAAACATTTCCAAATACCTAATCCGCTCACGTGGGCGTTCTTGAGTAAGCAGGAAACGGGCCTTGACGCGCTTGTTTTGTGAAGTGTGGACATTTTAAAGCTTTCTAACGACAGTTCTAAATAATGTTTTATTTATCGGAGGATCGGTTTAGCTTAGGGTTTTCAACGTTTGAGTTCGACATAGAGAAAGTGAGAGCACAACACTGCTTTCTGTCATTCGGTAGATAGGGCCAATTATAGATGACGAAATTATTTTTTTCTTGACAGGACACTACAAATACTATTACTAAGCGTTTATTTATGTTCTGTATTTCATTTTAATGCGGGAGACGGTTAATATAGTAACACCATAGTGTAAAAGATTGATGGCGAGTATGCACTTTGAGGGCTGCTGTTTTTTTTTTTTCAAATGTCGGACATTCTCCATCGTATTCGAATTACGCTTCTGCGGAAGTGGATATACAATGCAAAGGTTAATAAAGTACTTGAGGTGAGAGTTCAATTACCATAGGTAGGCACTATCGCCCATTCTGCCCGATTTTCTTTGTAATGGCCAAATGACTTATAAGACAGATATGAAACATCAAAGTCAATACTTTTGATTTTCATTGCTAGTAGAACTTATACATACAATGACAATTATATCATGTGTGATCCATTTATTTTGTTTATTCTCATGAGAAGACGTAATGTTGCAGGGCGACTACTATCGGGCTTAACGCGCAAGGGGCTATAAGAAATACTTAAATAGCGGTCATTGCTGCTATTAGACTGTGATAAAGAAAATTTTATTCCAGGTATGTGTCGGAAGCTTTGTCGGTATTTCGGTTTTTCGCTGGCACAATCGCGTTTGTCTTGGAACATTTAAAGCATCAAGCTCTTATAGTCTAACATACAGAACACAGTCTAACGACGCCCTATGTACAGAACTCTGAGAATGCAACTGTGAAATGTGTAATGAGGTCATATACTATAAGCTATTGTAGGCCTTTATATATAGCGAATCATAACATATAAAGGCACCCCCACGTCATGCGTTTTCTCCTTAAGCAGAATGAGAAGCTCTCCCTGCCTGTAGTTTCTTGCCTGTCTGGTTTTACATGAGAAGAAACACTTGTCGTGGGTGTACACTGGTTATCTTTATTTGATCAACTTGTTAAGAAGGGAATTAAAAGTGCACCGTCTACGGAAGTTCTTCATTTACTCGGTCATCGAAAGCATCTGTTGGCGTCAGTGTCACCTGTGGCGAAATGGTGGACAAAAAAATGTTTTTTTTTATTACATGCACCTAAGCATTCACTTACCTCATCTCGGATAGGTGTGAGACACAACACCGGCCGCAGAGAGCAGAGCACTAGGTGGCACTCGGGCAAAAGTTCCGCAGGGAACGGAGCGAACAGCCCCAGAAGAGTCCCACTCTCGCTCTCGTAGGTGGCCCGACAAGAGTTCCAAGTAACGAACGCCACCCGTCCGATAGGAACCGACAGAACTTCGCTTCGAACAGCTGTTCGGTTCCTTGAAGCAGCAGGGCCTCTGGTCAGAAATAAATTAGTTTCTTCTTTTTTTTAAAGGCTACCGTTCTTGTCCCGTCGTCGTACTTTGCAGCTCGCGGCCCTCTTTCGCCAACTTGAGCCGGCCACGCGGCTTTTTATGAGAGCGCTCCGTGCGACGTCACGCACGACACCGACCAATCGCCGAGTTCGGGTCGACTCTCCGTCCTCCTTCCATCGGATCTCGTAAGGAGAGCGAAAAGGGAAGCGACGCGGAGGAGGCTGCTGCAGAGCTAGACGCGACGCAGGAAAAGGGGAACGGTAAATTGGGAAACGGGGAGAGGAGAGGGCGCGGAGAGAAAGTTAGAGCAGCCTGTAGCGCCCGCGCGCGTGCCTTGCCGCTCCCCTTTTTTGCGCTTTCAGGAAATCTACGGGACGGCTGTTTGGGGAGAGAAGGGTGCAGCGACGCACCGTCGGCGTCATTGCGGGGTGGTATATAGGCGCGTTCTGTCGCGTATCCCTCTCCCTCTCTCTCTCCTGGAACGTTACGTCGGCGATGTGTGTGGGGCCACTCAGCTGCGCCAATTTCTTCGTTTCTGGCAATGTCTTCTTCCCTTTACAACAATTGGAGTCACGCCGAGATGCGGAGAGGGTAGTAAGAAGGAAGTTTGTGAGGACCGAATAGGAGAGGGTAGAGAGGGGGCGTCTGGCTGCATAGTATGCGTGTGCGTTGGCGGTTGCGCGCCGGGTTGGGCGTTTCTTAGGCCAGGAACTTTTTCCTCGAGGCGCCGAAAGTATGGCAATCAGTCCATTTGACAACCCCTGTACCATTGTCTTCAGATTGTGGTGTATACCTTTGCATTCCAGCATCGAGTGTTGATTTTTGTTCTCACGTTCATGAACATCTTTTTTTTTCGTTTTTTTATTGAATATGTGAGAGAAAAGCATTTTCAATTCAACTTCCAGCAACCGAATTTCCTTGTAACATATTCGTATGTAGTGCAGAATTAAAATAGGCCTTGTAAAATGTTCATATTGAGATTGTTTTACTTCCTTTTTCATACACTCAAACATGACTGTTGTGAGAGGTCTCTGACACTTCTCACAATGGTAGTCTGTTTACTGAAAGCTTATATCACGTCTGTTAATAATTTTTGTTCCTAAGTATAATCAATGCATGCGTGAATTCATAATGTGAAATGGTTGCATACTCCTAGTCAAGAAAACAATAATCCGGAAAAAAATCCAGCAGATCCCACTCATCATGCGAACGAATCCATGTGAAGCAGTGCACAGTAGTAGATTTTTATTTATTTATTCCTTTATTTATTAAATGCGAAGCATTTCTTAGCGACCTTCAGCGACTTTGAGCGTATCTATCTATCTATCTATCTATCTATCTATCTATCTATCTATCTATCTATCTATCTATCTATCTATCTATCTATCTATCTATCTATCTATCTATCTATCTATCTATCTATCTATCTATCTATCTAGCCGCCTACGACTGATAGCTCTCCTGGCCGTTTCGATAATGGAATCAACACCAAACTTTGTACCGCAATACATGACTGTATTAAGAATATATTTGCGTAGTAATAACATGCAAATCAAGACATGCGTGTCTTGAATGTCATGATTTACAATTCATGGCCCTGCAGCCCTTGCGGTGGTTTCGTTCACATGGCATCTTGCAAAACTGGTATGGTATGACATGAATGCTTGGCGAACACAAGCGACAGACCCTAACATGAAAATCATGATATGCGTGTCATGTAACAACATGACTACATGCCACGCTCATGATGCGCTCGCGGCCGTTTCGCTAGCGTCACATATACCAAATTTGGTATATGTGACGTGAATGTATGACGAAGATATGTGACTAGAGCAAACATAATAATCAATACATGTGTGTCATGTAACAACATGACTACATGCCACGCTCATGATGCGCTGGCGGCCGTTTCAACTAGCTTCACTTATACAAAATTTGCTATTACGGGACGTGATTGAATTACGAATGTATGATACTGGTGCAAATATGATAAGCATGAGATGCGAGTCATGTAAAAACATGACTACATGCTACGCTGACGATGCGGTCGTGGCCGTATCGCTAGCTTTACATGTACAAATCTCGGTTTTACGCGACGCGAACGAACAAAATAGGTAAATGACACATATAAACGTGATAATCACGACATGCGTGTCATGTAACAACATGGCTACATGCCACACTCATGATGCGCTCACCACCATTTCACTAGCTTCAAATATGCCAAATTTGGTATTACGTGACGCCAGCTGATGACAATGGTATGTTACTGGTGCAAATATAATTGACGTGAGGTGCGTGTCATGTGGAAACATGACTACATGCCACAGTCATGGCGCCAATACATTTCGACATGACGCGGTGCGCGTGCTCATCCGCGTTCTTTTCGACGCGTCACGCCGGTCCTGCCTTGGATGGATGGATGGATGGATATGGCTGTACCCTTTAGATCGGGCGGTGGCTAGCGCCACCAAGCCGTAATATATAATGAACCAAAAACTATATTTATTTTTTTTTCTTTAAAAAAGAGTTCGAGGATTCGTACTTTGCAGTGAAGAGTTTAATTTTCACTCGCGCCTTGACTTTAGCCACCAATCAGACAACCTCCTTCTAGTGAAGTCTACCCGCTTAAAGTTTATTTTGCCCTCCCGGTCCCTAAACCCCAGTGCTTTGAAAAACTCTGCGCCATCATCCTGACCTATAGGGTGAAGCCCTTTACAGAACATTATCAAGTGTTCGACAGTTTCTTCTTCCTCTCCACACGCACTGCATACTGTGTCTACCCCTTCGTATTTGGCCCGATATGTCTTGGTTCGCAGTACTCCCGTTCTGGCCTCAAACAGTAGAGAAGTACCCCGAGCATTATCATAGATCCTTTCCTTGGCAATTTCCTGCTTAAACGTTCGATAGACCTCTAGTGCGGACTTCTTAATCATGGCCATTCTCCACATGTCAGTCTCCGTTTCCTTCACTTTCTTCTTAACTGATAGTTCTTTTTGGTTTGGCCACCTGCTGTTTTCTAAGTATTTATCAGTCAACTTCCTGGTTCGCTTCCTCCATATTGTATCGACATTATTCATGTACAAGTAGCTGAAAACCTTCCTAGCCCAACGCTCTTCCCCCATTTCTCTCAATCGCTTCTCAAATTTTATCTTGCTGCGAGCTTCCCTGCCCTCAAATGATGTCCATCCCATATCACCTTGTACTCCCTGATTTGGTGTATTCCCGTGAGCTCCTAAAGCAAGCCTACCTATTCCACGTTGCTTAATTTCTAATCTTGCTTGAACTTCTGATCTCATGCACAAGACCGCATTGCCAAACGTCAGCCCAGGAACCATGACCCCTTTCCATATTCCTCTCACAACATCATACCTATTGTAATTCCACAGTGCCCTATTTTTCACGACTGCTGCATTCCTGTTATCTTTAGTCGTCACCTGTATTTCGTGTTCCCTCAGATACTCGGTCCCATTGCTTATCCATACGCCCAGATGTTTGTATTTATCTGTTATCTCTAGCGTGACCTCCTGTATTTTAAGCTCACTACCTTCGTTGTCATTGAAAATCATGACTGCTGATTTTTCCTTACTGAAGCTGAAATCTAACCTATCTCCCTCATTACCGCAGATGTCCATCAGTCTCTGCAAATCTTCCTTGTTGTTGGCCATTAGCACTATATCATCTGCGTACATTAATGCTGGTAGTGCCTGATCAATAAGTTTTCCTTGTCTGACTAAAGAGAGGTTGAAGCCCAGTCCACTTCCCTCTAATTTTGCCTCTAATCCTTGTAGGTACATCATGAATAATAAGGGTGACAGGGGGCACCCCTGCCTAAGCCCCCGTTTTACCTCTGCAGGCTTCGATACCTGTTTTTCCCACTTTATAACTACCTGGTTACCTTTATAGATACCCTTTAAAAGATTAGTGACTAAATGTTCCACGCCTAGTGTGTCCAGTATTCCCCACAATTCCTCTTGAACCACGCTATCGTACGCTCCCTTGATATCCAAAAATGCCAGCCACAGGGGCCTGTGTTCCTTTTCTGCTATTTCGATGCACTGCGTCAGTGAGAACAGATTGTCTTCCAACCTCCTGTGTTTCCGAAATCCATTCTGCAGTTCCCCCAGCACCCCCTCATCCTCTATCCACGCCTGCAGTCTTTCCTTTATAATCTGCATCGCCAGCCTGTAGACCACTGATGTCACTGTTATAGGACGGTAGTTGTTTATGTCAGCTTTGTCCCCCTTTCCTTTATAGATCATGCTCATCCTGCCAAGTTTCCATCCATCGGGAACTTCACCATCGATTATTATTGTGCTCACTGCCTCTCTCAAAGCCTGCTTAGACTTCGGACCTAATGTCTTTATCAGCCTAATTGGAATGCCATCTGGGCCTGTTGGTGTACTACTAGGAACCCTTTTCTCAGCCCTTACCCACTCTTGTTGTGAAAATGGAGCCATTGCACCACTTGATTCGTCCTTGTCTATTGTGGTGCATAAAGTACTTCTTTGTCGAAATTTTTCTGTCACTTTTGTTCTTATATATTCAATAGATTCGTCCCCTTCTAGCCTAGCACCTTGGGCTGTAGTTATAAATCTCTGCTCTAGGCTCGTCTCATTTCTTAGGGAGTTTAGATGGTTCCAAAATTTCGCAGCTGCCTTTCTATCTTTTTTATGTACTTCTGCCAGCCACTGAGCTCCCTTCCTTCTAATCTTTTCATTGATCAGAAGGGATGCATCTCTTCTACAGCTTAGAAAGGTTGCCCATTTTCTTTCCAGTGCCATATATTCGCAGGCGCGCGCCACGCTGCGTCGCTTTGGGGCATGCGCGTTTCAGCGCGTCCGGCATCCCTCCGTGACGAAAAGTGGGAAGCGCAGTATTGTCTTGGTAACACATCGGCATAGAGTAATGTTACTTTATGGCATCAGCGTGAAATGCAGCATGTCGCATTTCGCGCCGGTTGCCGTCGGGCCACGCCGACGGACGCTGGTCGCGCCTGGCGTCAGACTATGGAGTGCTTGTGTTTTGCTAATGTAGCGTCGCTGTGCCCAGCGTGCGCGCGCGTCA